GAGACAGGGACACACAGACAGGTGGGGAGACAAGGACACACAGACAGGTGGAGAGACAGGGACACACAGACAGGCAGAGAGGCAGAGGCCAAGCCCAACCCCCGTGGTTAGGATTCCTGAGGATCCCCTATATTTTATACCAACTTCTACATTTCTGTTTTGGTCAATTCAAGTTACTGTGCTACTTAAAAGGTAAGACGAATTGAACTAATACATAAGGGTTAACAAGAAGGCATGTGCCCAAGAAAACTGAAAGCCTCCGTACACACAGAACCCAAGATGCACATGCTCACTGCAGCGTCATTAACCACAGGCAGAGAGAGGAGGCCACCAGGTGTCCAACAGCTGGCAGATAAGCAAAACAGGGGCTGCCATACAACAGAACATTCTTCACTCATGAAAATAAACCTTAGACACACTACCCAGGACAGCGTGCCGAGGGCTAGGGCCATGCACGGGAGAGTCTGTGTCACAGGGTGAGTCCTTCAGGCAATGTTCCAGAGCAGGTGAGACAGGACAGAACTGGCCTGGTGGTGGCTCTGCCACTGGGCAAGACTGCAGGAAAACTCCTGGGTGCCAGGTGTGTCCATGGCCTTGGGCTGCCCAGGCCTGCATGCTTCAGAGCTCACTGCCTGAAACTTAGGATCTGTCCATTTCATAGAATCTTACCATTTTCTGAGGTAAAACAAATTTTTGCCTCAGAATTGTAAACAAATGCTGCTCACTGGCGGTGTGGGTGCTGTGTGAACACATGTGCCCAGGTGCCTGCCACTGACTCTGAAATGCAGCAAAAACTAGGACCAACAAACGTGAAGACAGATGGACAGATGGACGGCAAGTGCAGACCGCTGCAGGCCCAGGTGGCGAGCGTGAGAACATTTACTGTGTAATCCCTCCAACTTTCCTGTGTGTCTGAAAATGTTTATAATAAGATATTGGGGGAAATAATATGATAGAGAAAAACACTAAAGCCAAAAGTTGGTTCTTTGAAAAGATTCATAAAATCGATAAATCTCTAATAAAATTGGGATTTAGGAAAAGAGAAAAAGCACAAGTCACCAATATAAAAAATGAGGAAGACACCACCTGTGAGTACAGACACTGCAGGGCAAATGAGAGACGGTGTCCTCCTGAGTTCAGAGACTTGGATGAGATGGATAAATGGAGTTTATCAAAGATGTCAGAAGTAACCGAAAATCTCAATAGCTGGGTGTCTGATAAAGAGACCGAAGCCATTAATAAAAACCTTCCTACAAAGAGACGCCCAGACGATTTCACCACTGAATTATTCCACAAAGTTAAGAAAAAAGGCCCCAACTCTTGCAGAGAACAGAAAAAGAAGGGCGCTGAGTGTAAGGCCAGTGTGGCCTCAAGAGCAAATCAGAGGAGAATGTTCTCAGCAGGAAGTCACAGGCTCATTCCCCCCACCCCTGCCACCACCACCCCCAAAGTGCAAAAATCCCAAACCAAGTATCAGCAGCCAAACCCAGCGCTACACAAACAGCCTCCTGCTCTTGTGACCAGGAGGGGTTTGTTCACTCCAGGAATGCAAAGGGTTGTAACAATGAGGAATTAATGTAATTCAACATATTAACTCAAAAGAGATTATGTAATCATCTCAACGGATGCAGAAATAGCATTTATCAAATTCAATTCCCCTTTTGTGATTAAAAAAAAAAAAACCAAAACTCTCAGAAAACTAGGATTAGAGGGGAATTCCCTTAATCTCATTTTAAAAATCTATTAAAAGGCTAAGAAATAAGAAAGATCCTTCTTGACGATGAAACGCTGAGACCTTCCCCTGGGATCAAGACCCGGGCAAGGATGCTCTCATCCCTGCTCTGGGCTCCAAACAGGGCAACAGTGTAAGAACAAGAAATAAGAAAGGAGAGGCGCTGACACTGAAGAAACAGAGCTGTCATCATGCACGGCTGACAGGACTGCGTTTGGCCCAGATCTGGAAGAATCATCCAACTAGCAGCATTAAAAAGTGAGCTCAGCAAGGTCACTGGATTCAAGGCAAAGCACATAATCTTATTAAATTTCTATTCACAAACGCTACAATATAAAAAACAAAGTGGTGGTGCTACAGTGAGCAGGGGAAAGTCTTTCCCATGAATGGTAGAGGTTCAGGGGATATTTATATTTCAACAAAATGAACCTTACCCCTCACCTCCTACCATATGCCAACATCAATTCCAAATGGGTTGTTCATATAAACTGAAAAGTGAGGCAATAAAGCCTGGAACTTGATTACCTTGGAGTAGACAGAGAAGTCTGAAATAGGACAATCTTACCATAAAGTTAAAAAAGCATAAAAATAAATTAACAATCAAGAAGAGATAAACAGAGCGATATGAAGAATGACTATTCATCAGAAGACCCCAAGAAACGCCACTGCACTGTAGCCCGAGCTGCAGAGCAAAACCCTGTCTCCAAAAAAAATTAAACGCACCTCAGATTAAGAGGACAGAGCTACGATTCGTAAATTCAAGAGAAGATTCAGATCCAACAGAGGTCCAGAATGGCTGCACGTCATTAAGAAAAAGAGACAACTGAACAGAAAAGGGGCCAAAAGCCCACCCCAGTGAGAGCCAAAAATGTGCTATTTGCCCTGGGCTGTTTCTCTGAAGCTGATACATGGGAATACCTTCTTTGAAAAATTAAAATTCACTTTTTTGATATCTATGCCTAATTAACTCAAGAAGACATCGAACTAACAGAAACCACACTGCTTCGATTTTGTAGACTGTGTATTAAGATTACAACAAACGACATGAATCGTGTTATTAGATACACAACGGAAAAAAAAGATAAAACCCACCAATTTTTTTTTGTTTTTTTTTTTTTTTGAGACAGAGCCTCAAGCTGTCCCCCTGGGGGATAGCATCACGCTTACAGCAACCTCCAACTCCCGGGCTCAAGCGAGTCTCCTGCCTCCGCCTCCCAAGTAGCTGGGACCACAGGCGCCCGCCACAACGCCTGGCCATTTTTTGGTTGCAGCCGTCATTGTTGTTTGGCGGGTCCGGGCTGGGGATTCGAACCCGCCACCTTAGGTGTATGTGGCTGGCGCCTTAGCCGGTTGAGCTATAGGCGCCGAGCCCCCACCAATTTTTTTTTAAGAAATGGGGTCTCATCTATAATCCAGGCTAGAGGTCAGTGGCTCCATCATGGCTCACTGTGGGCTCAAGAGAGCCTCCTGCCTCAGACTCCCCAGCAGCTGGGACTCCAGAGGCATGCCCAAGCCCAGCGCCCACCACATTTTAGGGGTAACAAATTCCCATCATTCAGTGCACAGTAACTAACCGCCAGGCTCTGGCTACGCTGCACACATATCACAAACAGAGGGGCGCTGCTCCTCCAGGTAGCTGTCCAGTCCCTACATTCACCTTGAATGCAGTAACTGTTACTATCCCCCCTTCCAGAAAGAGAAACCGAGGCTCAGGAGGTCACGTGAACTGCCTAGGTCTCCTGGCAAGTCATGTGGGGCTCAGACTCCATCCCAGAGTCGGGGTCTCCCCACTAGGTACGGGGAGAGCTGCAACTCGATGCCAGGGTGGGCTGGGAAGCCCGTGCACTTGGCACTCACTCTGCTGATCTCCTAGCTAGCAATTTTTTAAAAGTCAGACTGATTTGTCCTGTCCAGGTTGGGTACGGCCAGTGTGGGAGGGAGGAGAGCTGTGAGGGACATCACCAAACCCACCAGGCAGTAAACTCACGTACTCAGTGTCTCCAGCATCGCCCTGAGGGTCTGCAGCCACAGGTGACACAGCTGCTCCTCCAGGCACCAGAACGTCACCTGTGCCCACTTCCAGCGGTGACGCTGCGCTCTCTTCACACAATGCACTGCACAGACACAAACGCGTTAGTCCCCAGCTGGCCCACAGGAGTGCGCTTCAGACGCACCGACCAGGGCCCGTTGCGAAGGGCTCCTGGGGCGTTCCTTTCTTCTATTTACTAACTTTCAAGTTTTATTAGAAAAAACATCCCATTTTTCAGGTATTTTAAACCGTGTAAAAAGAACATGAGAAAAGGACAAGTGTCAACCTAAACGTTAACCATACGTGGGTCTGTAAAGAGAAACCAGCCCACTGAGCTGTCGAGATAGGCCCGTCTGCAGGGAAGGCCTGCAGGGAAGGCCGGGAGCCCTGCGGGCTTCACCTGTGAACCCGTACGGCTTCTCCATTTTCTGCCACCTGCCGCCACTGCCATGCTTCCCACAAACGTCTACTTCTTCCACGGTGATGATCTCAGCCACAGGCACGGAGCAGGCATCTGGAAAACACATATCCTCGTGTCCAAAAGGCCGAGATCTGCTTCAGTATTTTCATAAGAAATCCAAAATTTAAAAGGAAGTTTACATCTCATTTTTCAGCCAGAGCTAAATAACCACACGCTGCTCAGTGTTACCAGGCAGCAGGGTGTCCTGCCCAACAGAGGCAACCAGTGTAGCTTCTCATGGATGGCTTGGCCATCCAAGCAGCAAAGCTTCTCTGGGCCAGCTACCATCTTACATTTGGGGAAACATGTTCACAATGTGGGCTCTGTCCTTGGGACACAGTGTGGCCCGGAAACCTGAGTGGGAGGATACACAACAGGGGCCGGGCAGCAGAGGAGAGGGTGAGCACATGGGAGTCGTGGACCTGGGGGTCACGGCACTGGACACCCTTTACCACGAAACCCAGGGAAGGGCAGGCCCCACCCCAACCACCATGGACCACACATTAAAGGAAAATTCCAGGCTGAAGTGCCGTGGAAGGTGACAAGTAGTGACCGAAGCCTTGGCCTGAAAGAGCTCCTCAGGACAGCACAGAGGGCTGAGGACACAACACTGGTTTGAACAGGCTGTGGCCCAGGAGCTCACCGGGCATTGCTGCTAGGGAGTCACGATGCATCTTTACATAGAAGAACGTTGGAATTTGCAGTTAGCATCCCAGGTTGGCTATAAAACTGGCAAGAGACCTAAAATACTACAGTTTTGTGAAGCTGAATGTAAAAAAAAGATTGCTGTCGTGTTGGCAGCAATTGAGTAGTAAGAGCTGGGGAGGCAGGGTCACACGCTGCAGACACAGGACAGGCTGGGGCCTCCTGCACCCTCAGAAGTGGGCCCGGCCCTGGGGGAAGTCAGCATCTTCCCTGTCGCTGACTTTGATAATTATTATTCATGGCCGAGATCTGCTTGAATCATACCACTCATTTGACACATCACAAATTCTAAAATAGTAAGGAATGAAATCATAATGTTTTATTGGAATGTATAACCCACAAATACTTTGCTTTGCCTATAAAACTGGCACGTTCTCACAGACTCAGCTGGAGGCCACCTTCCCCCCCTGCTAGGCCATCAGAGCCCATCTCAAGGCACCACCTCCCTGAATGGTCCCCACACCAAGATCTGCCTCCCACCACCCACATAAACACATGCCCAGCACACATAACACACACACACCACACACGTGCCATGTATACACCAACCACACCACACACCCCCACACCCCGCCATGTTTACACTAACTATACCACACACACCCCCACACCCCCCATGTTTACACTAACCATACCACACACACCATGCACCCAGACCTCCCCAGGGTCTCCCACATGTGGCCCTCTCTCAGCTTAAGCTCCATCTCCGCAGAGGCCTCCCTGCCCCCCAGGGGCCACCCCAAGGTCACCCAGGCTCAGTGCCACATGCACCATCCAGGCACTCACTATTCTGCCTTCCTCACCAGGCCCTGATGGTGGCTTAGTCCTTTTGTTCAGGACCATGTGTGTCCCCACCAGGCCCCTCGCCCTGGGGGTCTGGCCAACCCTGAGTCCAGTCACACTGTTCCCACATGGCTACCTGGTTTCACCAGAAGGCATCACAACAACATCAGGGCTGTCTGGGTGCACCAGCTTGGTCCCAAATGTATAAGCTCGTGCAAACCTCTCACTGCCATGACCCTCGTCTGTGAGATGAGGAAACTGGAGCTCGCAGGTCAATAAGGCAGGAGGCAGTGACCACATGCGGCAACACCAGCCTAGCCCTCTGGAGTCTGCTCCAAAGTCCTTCCCTTCCATCTTCCAGAGGGCAGGAGAGCCCGCCAGACACGGACGCCGAGCCAGCAGGGGCAGCCCCTCCACCTGCAGACCCTCACCTTTAAGCACCTGGTCAAGGTTCTGCCTCCCAGGGGCTCTCTCTGGACCAGCCTGATTCCACCGACCCTCCTCACCTGCGGTGCTTTTCAAACCCCCCCCCACCCCCCGCCCGCAGCAGACCATGCACCTGACAGGTTTCACATGGCAGCTGCAAAACAACTCAAATTGCCTGAGAAGAAAAAGGTTTTAAAATAAGAATCGAGGCTCGGTACCTGTGGCTCAAGCGGCTAAGGCGCCAGCCACATACACCTAAGGTGGCGGGTTCGAATCCCCAGCCC